GAATCGGGTTTTGGTTCACAAAGCCACAGCCAATGGCCGAAATCAGCTCAAAGGGCAGGGACACCATGACATAGCAAGCTCACATTTCATGTCCAAAATCCCCAACAATTTTGTAGCTCACTGGGAGGGATGTGCGGGTGCCACTCTTTGTGACCGGCCCGGGAGGATGCAATCAGGGCAGCTCCACTTTACCTGCAGGGAGCTGAGGTCCCGTAAGGCTTGGTCGGGGATACTGGGAATGTCGTTGCCATGCAGCATGAGTAGCTCCAACTTGCTCAGTCCTGCGAATGAGGTTTCTGATACTGCTTGTATACTGTTAAACCTAGAAAAGCAAAGGAGAGAGCCAGGGATTTAGCTCAGTGGTTCTGCCACCTGCCTTGCAAGCGCAAGGTCCCAAGTTTGATCGTCAGTACCAAAAAATAAAATAATAATAACTTTAAAAGGAGAAAAATGATCCCTGGGATAAGCAACAGTGAATGCTGAATTTGCATCTGGGAATGATTTCCCCAGCCTGGCCAGGAGCAGGCAAGCACGGGGTAGAGCTTAACATCACACTCATTCTCCTCTTTGTGTCTTTATCTAACTCTGAGAGTTACGAGGAATGGACATGTTTCTATGCATCTTCATTCTGTGAAGGAATATCCATGGAGAAGTAGACTTGGAAGATATCCATGCCATCGGGAGATGGCTTGGTGACCTGAGGAAGGGTTCAGAATGTTACCAGGGGATGGGGCTGGTTCTTGAAATTCTGCTTGGACCTAGTGATGACCATGCATGGAACGAGTCTAGGAAGAATGGGAACTAGGAAGAGCTCATGGGTACCCTCTGAGACCATTGGAGCAGCCGGCCATGGACTGAACCCTCTGAAATCCACTAGCACAATAAACCTCTCTTCATCTAAGTTATGTGTGTCAGGCAGATTGGTCTCTGGGGAGCCCACTATAGAATATAGAGAACCGTAGATGTTGCCTTTGAAATAGCAATTACCTGTCCTCAGTGAGTTTGCTGAAATACGATACAGAGAGTCTGATGTTGTAGATTGCTTTTCATTAACAGGTAAACAAAAGGAAATTGAACCTTAGAGGGAGAACTCTTACTGAACAAGTCCAAATTGCTTACAAAATCAAATAGACCTAAACATGCTGACCCAAATTTCAAAGTCCACAGAAATACCCCGCCTGCTGTGTAGCTCTCTTGAACGGCTCTGTCTAGAGTGAAGGCAATGAAAACCCTAACACCACAAACATTTTCCCTCGTTGTTTCCAACTCTTAATAAACTCACTTTTTTCTTTTTTTTGAGACAGGGTCATGCTATGCAGTTCAGGCTGTCCTCAAACTCACAGTGATCCTCCTGCCTCAGCCTCCCTAGTGCTGGGATTACAGGTGTGGGCCCCCACATCCAGCCACACTGTTTTTTATGTTTTAGGTGCAAATGAATGCTATCATCACAGGGACCTGGAGGCTGGCTCTGAAGATGCCCAGTGGATAACGAAAAGCAGGACCAATCCCGACATCTATGCCTTCATTTTATTTCCATCCCCTTTCTTATCTTAATGCTGTGCTCTGGATGGAGGCGTGCTAGTCACTCAAGGAGCAGGGGTCTAGTGCTGCAAATATGAGGTTCATTGGCCCGGAATTCCCCTTGCTGATGTTGTACCGTTTCTATTCGGATCTCCAATGGAACTGGGCTTTCCCTCCTCAAATTCTGGCATCAGAGTGCAAAACTTACGAAAAGGAAATGCTGAAAGACAAGCAAGATGAGCGGGAAACTCACGGGCTGAGTGGAGATGGCGGTTTCGGTTTCCAGATCTCCTTCCTAGGCTGGAGATGAGGGTTGTGCCATGCCGAAATAGCCTCACACTGCGAGCCTCCTCCTGACTTCCCCAGGGAAGTTACGTGACTCCCTGCTAACCCGTTTCTTATTAGCAACGCTGCTCATCACTGTTTCTTCAGAAGCCCTTGTGTGAGTTGGCGACATAATGACGAATGACATCATGTCTCAGCCTGTGCTTTGTGCCCAGAATGGGTGAGATTTCTCACGGATTGAATCAGCCACCAGCAGTAGGCAGAGAGGAGAAAAGAGAATTCACAGCAACACGAGGCCCCCAAGTAAAAGTAAGCATAAATCCAACAGCCAAGTGGTACAAGGCGGGGGACATCATGTGAGTAAAATAGTGTAGGAGTGAATGTGTTTAATACATTTAAAAATCCAGAAATATTTTAAAATAGCCTAACCGAACAGGAATAACAGCAGTGGGCTGCAACAATCTCTCTTGTATGAGAATATTGTGTCACAGAGAGAGGCTATTACAGTTGGTCAGATTTCAATTTCTGGGACACAGTGTACCTTAGAGCCCAATTTAGAGAAGGAGAGGTTGAATTTGGCTCACAGTCTCAGAGGGTCCAGTCCATGGTCGGCTGGGTGCAATACATTATAACATCATGGCAGATAGGCAAGTTGGAGGAAAAATGCTCCATTCACGGTTGTCAGGAAGGAGGGAGAGAGAGAGAGAGAGACAGGGAGGAAGGAAGGGGCTGGAATCTAGATTCAGTCCCCATGATCTCAACCCTGCGACCCACCCAGACACCTCAGAAGTGCGCTTTTACTAATCCAGTAAGTGGCTCTCCAGCTAATCGTGTGAGGTCATCACTAGACTGCCTAGTTAGAAGTGGGATCCTCCTCCCTCTCTGCACCTGAAAATATGGATACATCCTCTTTGCATCATATTGGCTGCCCAGGGAAACGGGGTTCGAGTGCTGCAGTCTGGGAAGAGCCTTCAACCAAAGACTGTGATGAGCATAGATAGAGCCCAGGTCCCTTAATTCTGAGCGTCTTGGCCTCCAGGGTAAAGTGAGACATCCGATGTGGATTGGCACTGGCTGACTACATGACAAACCCGGTGAGGTATTGTTGGTGACACACAATAGACTCAAGACTGTGTCATGGATACAGATTCGTTTCGAAAGCTAGATTTAAAAAATCGGACCAACACGGACATTAGACCTTGTCCGGGGGAGTCTTGTCATGAGGGTGAAGAAGCAGTCTTTATAAGTTTGTAACCCGGAGTGTGGTTGAATGATTTGTTGTGGTAGTGGGGTTGGGAATGGGGGGTGGTTGTTTTCCCTTGGGAAAACGATTGGCAAGTCCTTTTTGGCAGCATGTTGAGGCTGGGAAAAGGTAGACAAGAAGAATGCAGCACTGCACTCTGCACACTGTGGAGAGCAATCAGACCTGAGCTTTATCAGACTCAGTGCCGTGGCTTCTTCTCTTTTCTACTGCAAAATGCCAGTTTTCTTGTCTACTTTAAGCTCAGTGTTGTAAAGAGTTGGTATAATGTCATGAGTGACTAAGAAAGGTCGCATGTTAAATGGTAAACGAAGAAAAAGATGTTAAGTCACATCTTTTGAAAACGGCACATTAACCCCAGTTACAAATTAAGCCAGATGGAAATAATGCGTGCTGGGGTCATGAAGTGAGTCACTAGAGTACTTTTTTTTTTTTTAACATTTTGATGTTACACAAATCCATCTTAATTGGCATCCACTGGAGAAAGGAGCACTTTGATATTTGTGTTTTATGCCAGCGCCAATGCCTTTGGGGCCCTGCGATTTCATGAGTTGTTTAAAATAAAGCCATCAGAAGTTGAGTTTCTCATTGATAGGTCAGTTGCATTTCATGCTTGCAAAATATTTTGGTTTAAAGCTGGGGATGGAGCTCAGTGGTAGGGCACTTCCCTAGCATTCATTTAATTCCCAGAGCCACCAAAGTAACAGGGGGAAAAGGGAGATTACAAAGGATTTCACCTGAGAATGAGCTGGAAGAAAGACATTCCCCAAAGCCTAAATCAAAGGCAAACAGGGCAGCCCTAATAAGGTCTTCTTGGTGTTGCTAGTTCAAAGCTACGGAGTTTACAGCTATGGCTATATGCACCTGGACCTTGTATTTGGGCAGAGCGAAGGTGGTGGCCTGGCCACCCCGGTTCCCAACCTGACCACCTCCTGGTCCCCAACACTCAGCATGGATATTCTCGCTGCCTGCAAAGAGCCCAGCAGAGAACCCATCTGAGCTCTCCTCTTTTTCATGCTCTGTAGGAGACTCTACCAGGGCCTAGCTGACGGGGCCAGCTGAGGGCCAAGTTTGAGGGATCAGGTGGTGGATGCCAGGCAGCAAGACAATGGCTTCAAACGTCTCAGGAGAAGAAGAACTGCAAAAGCATGCAGTGGCAGCAGGCTGTGCAGAGCAGAAGTTAGAGCCGGCTGCAGCTTCTGGTCCACTGGCCCCTCCCAGACCAACCTGTCCTGGTTCACGCTGCCTTGCCTCACGCTCCTGTATGAGTTTTTTAAAAAAGGAAACCCGTTTACGTATGAATAGTCCTTCCTCCAGCAAAAGCTAATTGATTTCCCCGTTGAGTAGTCAGGACTGGGGTTGGATTTTTCTGACAACCCATTGTAGCATTCCCCAGCATTTTATGGAAAGAACTATTTAAAGGTCTATGACTGTGAGTGAGGGAAGTTCCTGGCTCATTTTCTACATTTTCCATTCTCTTATTCTATCATGAGACTGTATATTTAATAGATGAAATAGGTAGTAGATTAACTCTGTGTTCTAAGGCTTTGTATGCATTATATACCAAAGTTATCTATGTCGATATCATCTGTCATCTGTCTGTCCATCTCTCTCCCAGTCCTATAGTCTCAAATGTCGAGGCATGTTTATAACGATTTCTTCCAGGACTCAAATCTGGTCATTTTATAAAAACATTCCCATGATGGATATATTCACCGAACATGAGTTATATTTGTTATCTTCCAATCGTCATGACAATTGGCATTTGTGGACATGAAATATGTGTGTGTTTGCAATGGGATGAAAATATAAGAATTCCACCTGGCATGTACTTAATCATAGCCATTTAGAGAGGCGGATTTTTTTTTCCTTGAACATGGGAAGTGTCTAATTCACGGCAGAAGGGGGGAAGCCAGCATGGGGGCTATTCGATGTCTCTTTTGACCGCTTGTTGCAGAATTTGAGCTTGGGTTAGGTAATTCTTAAAGAAGGTCCCATATGGGATTTGGCTTTGGAGTTAAGAGTTATGCCCTACAGCGAGGGTATCTTGCTGGCTGTGTACCTCAAACCTTCTCTGGACGGAGGCAAGATTGTGAGTAGAAAGCTGAAAGAAATGCATCGGGAGGACTCGGCCAGAGCAGCTGGGAGAGGAGCGAGCTGGACAGTTCTGCGGATCTCAGTGAGCTTATGTTTGCTTAGATGCAGGGTGAAGCCACCCCGTTATTTTGTAATCACAGTTTACTCAAAAGTTCACATGCTCTGATGGTCTCTGAAAGTGTAGGTGTGTGCGCATGTGTGTTTGTGTGTGTGTGTCCAACAGAAAAACATGGATCCCCCGTGGCTCAGTGGCCCACTGGTTAAAAATGCCAGTTCTAGCTCAAGGGATAAAGCCAGTTCCCTGATTTTAACTCCTCCTCTCTCTTCTTTCTCATCTTCATCTAATTTGTCCCTAAACTTGATGACATTGCCCGTTCTTTATGCGGAAAGAATAGTCACGTTTTCAACAGGCAGACAGGCAGGAGCTGTGGTACGGGCTCAACCCCGATAGGCAGGGCGCTCGGGAAAAGTCAGCGACATCCCACTCCTCAGGGCCGGTAATTGCCCAACCGTGTAAGCAGTGAGCGTGCATTGTGCGTCGTAGGCGTTTGCTCCGACAGCCAACTCCGAAGCACGCTCTGCAAGCAGCTTTCCGGTCAGCTGAAAGTTGGCCATGCTTTCCTCTGTCCGTGTAACCCCAGAGGTTGCCCTAAGTAACCCCAAAAGCTGGCCTTGCCATTCTACCCGAATGGAGGTGAGGAATGATGGATGAGGAGAGAGGGAATTACTTAGGAACCTAAGTAGACATGCGCACGCGCACACACACACACACACAGACATGCGTGCGCTCCCAGGCAAGAACCAAAGCGTGCCCTGGAGGGCCTTCGAGGGCTGCGGGAAAGCTGTACCTACCCCAAGTTCATCCTCTCCACGTGTTCAGAGATACCCGCAGGCACGGCCACCAGGGAGCGGAAGGTGCAGTGGACCTCGCTGGGCACGTAGCAGGCACACGGGTGGGGACAGGACCGCGCTGCCCGCGGATGGACGCAGACCAAGGTCAGCACCACGGACAGCGCCGCCCAGGGCACGCGGGTCCGCATGGCGTCGGGGTGCGAAGCTCGCTGGGCGGGACCTGCGGGCGGGCAGGGGGCGAGGAGGTTGGGGTTCAGCTGGGGCAGGGACTCTGCCCGCGCCGCTCCCCGGAGTTGGGCATGGCCCATAGTGCTGGGCAGCCCCCCTCCAGACCACCCGGGCCCTTGTTGGGACCCCGAAAACCTTTGATTTCAGAAAAGCGAAAATTTTATTTAAATAAATTTATAAAATTTAAATTTTTGGTAGCCTTGGGCCAGCCGGGAAGGGCTTTAATTCTTGTGATAAAACATAGCTTGGTTCTCTGGCTTTGATGGTAGGGTTGGGGAATCTCACGCACTGTGCTGTAGTCTGCATCCGTG